ATGAATTAAAAAAAAATGAAAAATAATGAGCGAATAGCAACAATGCAAACAAAAAATAGGGCGCCCGTAGAAGAAAATAAAAAAATTCTGTTTTAAATTTAGAAATAAATGTAGAAATAAATAATAAATTCTTGCTCTTGTCATCAGTTATTAGTGAAAACAACTACAGCCGACGAGAAATTTTTCAGTTTACGGATGATGTATTAAGATAGCAAGGTTGAAGGATATACGTGAGTTCCACACTTCAGCTCCGAAGGAGCTGCGTTAACAAACTTTCTACACTAAATTCAGCTGTTTTCTTTTGGTATCATTATGTAAATTACTTGAAAATATACTTATTTGATGCGGTGAAAAGTTGCATCGAATGAATATACTTCGAAACATCTTGGGCAATAAAAATAATCAAACAAAAATAAATTTCTTTGACAATTGGAGTGTTTTTCTTCATATCAACAATATGATTTTTTTTAACGATTTTGCAAGCAATCTTTCGAAGCTTTAATCATAAAAGAATGATCTAAGAAATTTTTAAAATATGAACACTTTTTGTAGAGTTCGATGAGTTCTATCAAAACATGTAAAAATTCTAAATATTTTAAGCTATTTTTCAATTACTGGCACTTGACTTTTCCACCGCAAAAGAAGTATAAAATTTGTTGAAAGTTTCTCAAGTTTAATGGTAAAAGGTTTTCACAATCTTTACTATTTAATATCAATAAACTTCATTGTTGACAGACTTTCAATTGATATAAAATTCATTGTCTTCTCTTTGAGATGATAGGGGTACTACCCTGGACGAATATTATTTCCAACCTTGTATATAATGTACGAGGCAGATTTTTCAAATTGACCGAACTTTCTGGTATTCAAACTATCGAACACTTAAAGCTTCAGCCACCATATAATCAATTACATTAACTGCAGTTTCTCAAGAAGGAATACATCTTGATCATCAGATTCCAAAAACAAAACTTTTGTATTCTCTTTTTTCCAACAGATTCACTAATTGACGATATAGGGGCACTATCTGATCTTAATTAATATATGTTGAATCCTTCATGTCTACCATTCTAATTGATTTATTGAGTAACGACTTGACTTACTTTATTGATGTGTACTTGATATACGGATTTTGGACAACAAAAAGCCGTGAAAGAGTCATATTAGAAGACATTCGATATGTCCAACTTTTGTGTATACCTGATGAGTTCTATTTCACTTTTACTGAACGAATATAAGAGGATGGAAGCATATTGCCATGTTATAATTTTTGTTTTGATGAATTGTAGGTAATCAAGCATTGGAAAAGCAGAATGACTAGTTTAACGTTTATTCCACCACTGCTGAATAAAAGTCTGGATATTAAATTTAATAGCTCTTCTACAATTCGTAGTATTATGCAAGAAGGGTTTATCGATAACCTGACAGTAAAAACATCATATTCCGTTTATTTTAACATGTGTGCACCTTCATCTTGTACATATTCAATCCAAGGGCGACAGAACATCATCATTATTGTAACAAGTGTGATAGCTGTTATTGGTGGTTTCGTTACTATCTTTAAATTATTGACACCTGCACTGGTTAATCTCGTCTATTGGTTTTGGGCACATAGACAAGGTATGAGAAACAATAAATATTGACTTTTAAAAACTGTTTTGAAAATCTGTATTCATCAGTAATAGAAACATATGTCAGCAGTTTCTTATATTGTACTAGAATGCGACCTGCTTTAGTGAATAAATAAGAGAATGAGGTATATCGAGTTTCAATGAATCAATGTTTTCTATAGTCGTTAGTCCTGATGAAATCATCTCAAAAAACATATCTATTTTACCTTCTGATATTGAAGCTAGATCAGTTTTTACAAAAATAAATCTCTTTTTTTCGCTGTGTCTCTATACAATTTAAAAATGAATGAATTACTCTTGCCCTACTCCCCAAACATCGTTTGAGTAAAGACCTTGTCCAATTTCCTTAATTTTCTTACACGAGTAATACTTAGACAGATCAGAATTTTTGCGAAAATGTTTTTGGAAACGTCAATGAACACTCACACTATAGATACAGAGATGTAACGGTAGAGTGTAGAGGAAACCATAGAATATATTATGACTTAGTAGGAATAGGATTATATGTACAATTATGTAGAGAAAAAGCACAAGAAAATTGAGAAGAGAATAAAGTACGGGAGTTAGAGACTATACCATGTGAAATGTTCTTTAAGATGTTTAAAGACGCTTGTATCAGACTTTCTTCCTTTGATCCTTCTGCGCCTGTTATATCTACTATAGCCACTATCTTAATAACCATAGTATTACATTAGACTCTAGAAAATCACTAAAACAAATCATAGATTTAAAGATAAATAACTACAAGTGTATCAAGGGAAATTAAATTGAACAATTTAATTTGTTTTGATCTTTTAAAATAGATCATTGTAATTTATGCTTTCTCTTACGTTGGGCTTTCCGTGAATTGATCGCTTTTAATCTCTATTTGAATCCACGCAAATCATCTCCACTGACTCTTCGAAGAGAACTGCACACTACGCGTCTTTACTTAATATTCTGGATCACAGTCTTTACGATTCTCGGTTCGTACAACTATTTAACTCCAAACTCTATTATAATACGTGTGGAAGACCCAACAGAAACCACTTATGAAGCTATGGCTCTTTTGAATATCTCGTCACTTTCTTGCCCATGCTCAAACACTATGTTGAGTTTGCAATCATTTATTGATACAAAAGCAGAAAAGCATCAGATTTGTTCGAGCCCATTTGTCGAAACTGCATGGATCAATAGTATTTATAATGATAATAATCAGTCGTATTATACAGGAAATCACTTTCGTCTTAATACGGCTCTCTACTTCCTCGGTCTTCGATCACTTTGCATCATGGGTGACAGATATGTTCAGGTTACGTTTGAAGCTTTACGAAGTGGTAAGCTGTATGGTAGGAGCGTTGTTCCGAAAGATCACCTTCATTGGAATGTTGAAAGTACAATGCAACAGGAAAAAGAACGGTACACAGGTCTTTATCGTGTAATGCTTCTATATATGCGGCATGGCGTCCAGATAAATCAGCTCATGAATATATTCTCTTCAAACTGGTTTTATTTGCTAGAAGACAATGAAACAATGTCAAACTATCGCATTCCAACTAAACCAGTCTCTTTTGGAAGCAATTGTTCATGTGCAGTCTCTATGGAATGTACAGACCTTGTGTTTATCGATGGGCAGCCAGTACCCGGTTTTGTTTTTGGTTGCCATCCAATGGAATCAATTTTACGATCAACTCTTATCTGTCTCTACAGTCAAACATGTGTAGATCGAATTAATACTGTAAATATATCATCTGTTCATCCACTCGATCGTTCGTTACCTAGTCAATTTGCTATAAATAGCACAGTCGAAGAATTGGCTATGAATCTATTTGTAGAACAGTGGCTAGTCAACGTATCCTACTCAAGATTTTTCTCTGCATGTCGACCATCAGTGTGCACATACTCAGTGTCACAACGCAAACAAATCCTTCAAGTAGTTACTATAGTTTTAGGCCTCTATGGCGGAACAACAATGATTCTTCGAGGAACTTCTCGCATTCTTGTAATTGCTTTTTATCGCATATTAGCTTTAATTAGACGACATAATACTATTATCGTTCCTTTTGTATAGAGTTTATCTTTAAATGTTTCTGAAACTGTGAAGACTGATTTTTTTTCTCATTAACTCAAAAGTCTGGATATATTTCCAGTAAAACTTCATGTTATTGATAGGCTTCTTGAAATCTCTTTTAAACTTCTATCAGATTCTCTTCATTTGACAAGACGATCAAATCTGCTTTTATTTTATCAGAATACGACATATAACGTGCAACATAGTCTAAAAATAGAAATGTCACATATAAGTATAGGACAAGTGTTTATCAACTAATACTTTAGATATAGAATATACTTATTCAGAGTTGAAAATCTATTATAAATAACAATTAACATATGACTTAACTCTCTTCCGTTGTTCTTACTTTTCTTTCCTTAATGTTCAATTGTAAAAATGATGACTGAAATAATCTTCTTCCCACAATAGTTTCTCTTTCTAGTTCTTACCAATGTTCAATGTTACAGATAGAAAAGAAAACACAGCAGAAAACGGCTCTTTTATATGTTACTTTTTATTTAAGAACGAATCAACTCTGAAGAAGAATATATTGTATTCGATACTTTAGTTTATACACATCCTTTCAAAGCTAAAATAAGCTGACTCACTTGAGTGTCTTGTCAAAATTTAATCAAGATCTCGTTCAGAACTCTTTAAAAATAAGCATTATGAAATTTGAATTCAATCTGATAATGTTGATGTTGTCCACGTAGCTTGTTTTCACTCTCGTTCTTTCGTTGTACGCTTTAATATTGGCTTTTTGGTTATTACTAGCTATTCGTGTGCGTATGAGCATCGTTAAATAAAAGGTTTTAAAAAATACGCCTATTATATTTTTAATTGACTTAATGATAAATGGATAATAAAAATTTACTCATTTCATTCCGAAATGTGTGGATGATAAAAAATATTAAGGAAAAAATTAAACTCAGGGTGTGGGTGTGGGTTTGAGTGTGTGACTTCTGTTGAACTACTCACTTTCTTCCATACCCACATTCATACTCACACCCTAACTTCGAAGAATCTAGTAGATCTTGGCTATATCAATATTGCGTCCGCGTCTCACGTTGCTGTGAGTGCCGAAGCACGCCCCTGCGCAAACATATTGGAAAATCAATTCAATCAGATCGATCAGAAGGTTTTCACAATCATCAAACATTTCATATACTGTTGATTTATAAGAACTTTTTTTCATGTATCGAAAAATGGAATCTGCCTGGTTTAATAGTCAATGAAAGGAAATTTTAACACTTGAATAAAAGTGATAATGACAGTTTTATTGTCCATTTTTGCATTTCATAGCATCGAATTAGTCTATCTGCTCGTAAACTATGGAGTTATTTTCTTGAATCCAAATCATTTGTTGTTAAAACATTCATTTTCAGTTCTAGTTGTTGTTTGTCGGATAAATTTAATTTAATATCTTCTATAATTGTCAATGAACGATTATTCAAATTGACTCGATATATGTAATAGGTAGTAGGATTTTTTAATATTTCTTCAACTTCTTGTATTGATATTGAAAATTGATAATCATCAATATGTTTTAATGTTGTTTTCACTTTGATTTGATGAGGTTTTTCAGGTTTATCAATAAAATTAATTTTAATATCGTAAGGCAATCCTGTTTCACTAGTTTTATTTAGCCATTCTATTGATACATTTTCATTATTATGATACAAATCTGTAAGATATTTATAAATCAATTCTTCACCTTTGCGTCCTATTTTTCGAAGATATTCTTCGTCTACTTCCTCGTTTAAATTCTGTACTACATCATTCTCATCCGATGTCATTAGATTGCTGAGATTGATATGCTTGAATTGGGCTATATTTTGTTTCTTCGGTATGAAATTTGAAACAAAACCTAAAAAAATACATAAATATCAAACTTGAAAGTTAAATCGAATTATTCAATGATTGTTGACGCGAAAGACAGACACACCCGATAAGTAATGGACGTCTCGCTCAATAATTGAATTCCATCTTCAAGCTTGATACTACTCAACAGAGTGAAAGATAGAAAAGAACAACTAAAAATCGTTTAATTGAAACATTAAAGTTTACGTGTATTTGAGAGGAAGTAAGTCACATGCCTCAACTATCGGAATACTTTTTTACAGGCGTGACAAAATACAAAACGAAGAAGAAAGCGCAATCGAATAAAAAAAAATTACCTCGTGGTTATTGATGTTCTTTTTGTACAGTCGTTGTCGATGAATCATTCTTATTTACTTTGTCATCTATTGTTGATTTATTTGTTTCATCATGTATATGGATATCATAACTTGAACTTTTCGTATTAGATTGTTGATAAGTTTGTTTATGTTCTGATTTCGATTTTGATATTACAATTTTTTCTTCATTTAATATTTGATCAATTCGTGTTGGATCACTATGAATATTAAGTTTTGTATCATCATTATCGATATCTTCTATTACATTATTTTCATCTTGTTCTTCATTGTCTATATTTATTATCCATACTGGTTTTGAATCATCATTGTCATCCGTAATGTTTTGTTTTAATTGATCTTTTGAATAAGCTGTTAATAATTTTCTATAATATTTATCTAATTTATCTCGTTTATATTGACATTCTATAACAGTATCATTAATAATAAATTGTACCATTGTATCAATACTTTGTGAATAATGATGTGTTTTTAATAAATAAAATTTTTTAAATTTTTGATCAAGATAACAATGATAGATATGATTAAATGATTTATAATTATATCCATATGTCACTTCAATATTATCAACAATGAAAAATTTCATTTGTAAAAATATTTCATTTAATTTTCGTTTATTATATGATTGATCAAACATGTCTATTTCATTGTATAAATAATTGGAAATAAATGGTAAAGTTTGTGTATAAAATTGTTTTAAATCATCGGATTGTTTTACATTTGTAACATTTACATTTGATTTTAATATTTCAGATAAATTTTTACATTGAAGTTTATCAAGAAATTTTCGTTGATGTATTGTCAAACCAGATTCTAGATGAAAGAACGAAAAAAGCAATTCAATGATAAATGTATCTATAGATATTATAATATTAAAGAGTATACCAGGTAATTTAATGATGGGTAATGATTCCAATTCAAATAATTGTCCTACATATTTGTCATCGGGAATATATGGTTTGTCATCAAGTTTTATCCATCCGAATTGTGTCATACTTGGTATAAGAGATTGATGTTTGAATAATTCTAAGAATAAAAAAACAAACAAAGCTCTTAGTTACATATCGACATGTATGCTATAGAACTCTTACTCTTGATACTGTCATTATCTTCATCATGTAGGTTTTCAAATATTTTCCATACATTATTTGTTAATTCATCAGTTATATTTTTTTGTGAATAATTTTTCAATAATTCTAAATAAGACTTTACATTTGGTTTCAATGGTATTTGTAATATATTTGTGAA